GATCACTAATCCTGGGAAAGGCCTTTTCTAACCACCATCATCATCATCATAATCATCATCATCCACTGTTACTGGTAGCGGGACACACCCAAGTTCCAGGTTTGTGTTCGTTCTGTGTTCTGTGCTCTGCACCTCTGCGCAGCTCGAAGGTGGATGCCCAGTCGCTGGTATCCACAGATGGTGAGTGGAAGCTGAGCCCCTCAGGAGATGTTTCCGAGATCCGATCCTCGAAAGAATACGAAACGAGCAGACTAGCTGCTTGTTGCCTTAGGGGGAGCAGGTGAAGATGGATTCAGCGATCTTCAAGAACATGTGTGTGTGGTTTTGATTGCCAGGAGGTAGCTGTGATGACGTGTGTGGAACAGGGCTTTGCGATACCTCGAAGCAAGAACAACTGACTGGCCAGCTTGGCTTTGCTTTGCAATATTTTTGCTCTGTTTCGTGCAATGTGGTAGACCCTGATTGGTTGCATCTTTGGGGGGAACAACAAATTAACACGGATCCTTTCTGTTCATTTGGTCTTCCTTTTTCCAAGCCAGCACCGTTCCAAGATAGACAAATCCGATACGGCGCCAGACTGCTCGGTGGCTACACTTGCCGAGAGACGATGTCTCCTAACAGCGATGATGGTGCTCCAGGGGTCTTGGCCTCCAACAGCCAGTGCTACAGGTACAGCGGACAAGCTGGTAAAACGACGTGTGGCGCAACCTTCTATTCGCTGCTTGGATTTGCAGCGTTGTTTCACACCACTTTCTTTGTTTCGCCACCCCGGTCGCCGACCGTTCCCCTCGCGTGTGGCCGTGTGGCGGCGGTCCGAGGAAGAGGCGGTTTTGCTATTGCAAAGATGCGAGCGGAGGCAGCTCGGGGGATCCCCACATCCAATCGCTGCGCGGTGCTCACTATAGCCTCTTGAAGGAAGGCACCTTCCTGGCGTGGAGCTTTTCCAAAGCGCCCGTCGAGTGGCAGCTCTATGCCCACTACGCAGGCTGGGTTGCAGAAGTGGCCCCATATCATGGTGTTGCTGGACTATTGTACCACATGAGCAACCCCCAACACGTGCGAACAGTTTCATGCAGAGCGGTGGATAGGCCCACCTCAAAGGCGATAAACATGCCGCCGCAGTTTCTGGATATGTTCAACTTTGTTGAATGTGTGGGACCTGAAAAAGCGATAGGCCCACGTCAAAAGCGATAGGCCCTCGTTGAATCATGTCATCTTCGTTACAAGGCGTTTTGGCAGACGCTCACATCATTAGCTTTGATGCAAGTAGGGTACCTCTCGCAAACCGCAATGCCAAGGTTCAACATTTACGACCCAAGGGCTCTTGCTGTTGGACAAGAGTCTTGGACGTCGCATGGAAATGACCGCGGAGGATTGTCAATGGCGCAGCCAGGAAGGCGGGAAGTGGCATGCGGTCAAGTCTGGCGCACAGGAGCTCTCTTGGAAGGTGCAAACAACTAACCTGACCAGTCCGGACCTTGTGGTGATGGGATCCGAAATCAATCTCAGCATGGAAGTTCCCCAAGGCCAGCACAAGGTTGCGCGTCTCCTGTCCCACTGCACCCCCGGTGATCATTTGGACTTCAAGCTCACCATGTTCAAGAAGGAAGACATTGACTACGTGAATGGTGAACTTGGAGTTGACCCACAAGTCTGGAACACGTCCTCCCTCTTCTACTCCAAAAGTAGCCAGATGCAGATGCGAAGCGATCTCGAGTTTGAGGCTGGGTGTCTACGTGTGTCTACCATGTTTCGTCTTCAGCACCACCCAAAGGAATACAACACCCGGATGTAGGCCCCGCCTCTAGTTTTCTCACTCTGTTTCAGGCATCCGCATCTTGGTCCAGCTTGGGTGGCAGTGCGGCTGCAGCGGAATATTTGAAGAAGAAACAGCAGGAGCAGGCTGAGGCTTCCCTGGTGCTACGCAAAGACTGCACTGAATCTGAGATTCAGGCAGCCACAAAGACTTGCGCCAAGTACTTGAAGAACATCCTCAACCAGGACGTCTTTGCCGACTGCGTCTTCGATGTTTGCCATGGTGGAGGTGAGGCGGAGGCAAAGCGTGCCGCTTTGCTTTTTTCAGGTTAGGTCGCCGCTGGTTCTTGGTTTCACGCAGCTTGAAGGATGTTGGTTGGAGAAATGGAGAGTTGCAGAGCTATAGTGATAATATTACTGTATAGTGCTGTATCTATTGGCCAACTTGGTGATTGAAATTGGGCAGCTTTGCTTGCCTCAAAGCTAGCCAGGAGCATTGTTTGTTTGCTGTGCCAAGCTGCTAAGCTTTTGGACTTCGCTGGGTATCCCATTGTGGCGTCCAGCAAAGATTCCCTCTTTTCCCGAGATGCTAGAGGTAGACGCATGGTTTTCTCTGAGCAAAAAAGCTTTGGCGTTTTGATTTCGCCGGGCAGTCATAGAGAAACCGCGGCGTCCAGCAATTAAGCTGAGCCTCTTTTCCTCGGCATGGTACTTGCAGACGCAGCCTTTTTACATGGATTTTGCACACAGAGAAGCTGTGGCACATATTCGTCCAGCATGGCCACGAGCTCTTTTTCCAAGATGGAATGTGAGGCAGCTGCATGCTGCGCTCAAACTTGTTGCGCTCAAACGAGCAAAAGAGTCGTTGTCTTGATGGCTAGTTCAACAGCGCACACTTGCTAGAGATAGGTGTGACTGGGCGCATGTCTCGAACTAAAACAACTTGTCCAACGAAATCATCGTTTTCTGAAGCTTACTATACTGGGGAAATGACAAAGAACTGGTCGGAAGCATGGACAAGCTGCAATCCCAACTGGTCCCCCCTGTCAGTCGCGCTGCTCGCGCTGCTCGTTCTCTGCGACGTCGCTCCAAGCGCTCCACGGCCAGGAAGACGCAACTGTGGATGGGATGACTGGAGGCCACGACACATGGCGTGGGTCGGTAGAAAGAAATCTGGGAAAAACATCTGAGATCATCTGAAAGAGGAACATTGATGGTGTTTTGATTGCGTGGTCGGCTTCGTAGAGCGTTCAAGTGGATGCGTGGTCGCATCCGGAATCCGGAGAAGCACCTGAAGGTGGACCCTTCTGCACAAATGCAATAGACAAGTTGTGGATTTCCGGTTCTAGTCACGAAAGCTAGCACCAGTAGCTGGAGTTGTCCTTGCTTTAGCAAGTGAGGGGCTGGAATCCTCGAGATCGCCGCATCACATGAAAACTTCATATGTAGGGGGGGCCCCGCCCCCCTCCCTCCCCGCCCGTGGGTTCAACTCCCCCCTGGGACGCCTCTGGGACACCTCTCGGGCACCTCTTGTGGCATCCACTTTGGTTTAACTCCTCCGGGATACGGTGCAACAGACTCAACAAGCTCACAGGTTCATGACATCGACATTGATAGAAGAAACCAAACAAATCATGCAAGCAGCTTTGTTTTGCCTCTGGGACACCTCTTGGGCACCGCTTATGGCATCCACTTTGGTTCAACTCCTCCGTGGAGGTTTTGGGATACAGTGCAACAGATTCAACAAGCTCACAGGTTCGTGAACACATCGGACGCATCGAACAGTATGGCAAAGTCCAGCCACGCTTCCTTAATTATATATTGGGGACTTCAATTCTAAGGTTGGCTGTGTCATTGCTGTTTGTGTGTCTTACATGTTCACAACGTTTTACCTCATCACCATTTGCCTCACTCCGCTTGATGTCCCACCAGTCCGGATGCACCCCTGCTAGCTTTCGTCACCTACCCTCGGCCTCAAGTTGGATTTCTTCGTTAGTACCAACGGTTGGATAGTTGTTCAGCAACTCGGATGGGAGCAGGGCGTGCTGGTTGGATGTTGGCAAAGTGGATGCAGTGCGTCGGACGTCAAGCAGGAGCACTGCCTGGACATATAAGATATTTCGTTGTTATGACTGTGGTCTCATGGATTATCCAAGTTGATTTACTCTTTGGATCACCTGGCATACCAAAGCAAGGTTCGGACATCGTAGAGTTGTCGATTGTCAGGATTTGTCATGCCTGTCTCTACAAGAGATTTCAATCCACTCATCCACAAGCCCACGAAATCCTAAACCTCCAACGACCTCATTTCAAGCTGTCCTTTTTGACACGTCAGTTAGACGTTGCTTGCTTGCTTTTGCTTTTGCTTTTGCGTTGCTTTTGGTTTTGCTTTTCTTTGCGTAGCCTTGCCTTCTTGCTTGCTTTGCTTTGATATGATTTGCGTTGCGTCGCGCTGCTGTGCTTTGCGCTGCTGTGCTTTGCGCTGCTGTGCTTTGCGTTGCTGTGCTTTGCTTGCTTGCTTGTGTGCTCTCCGGCGGATAAACATGGGAATGAGCCATATTTTTTTTGTAAGAGCTTCTCAAAAGTGATTAAACCTGGGAACTATCGACTCCAGGGACACTCTTTCCGAAATTCGACCGAGCCGCGAAGCCGCCAAGCACTGCGAAGCCCTGCTATTTTTTGTTGCACCGCTGAAGGAGGGGTCTCTGAGAAGGACTTGGTCTTCAATCGGAGATTCTTGAGGCACAGAGGGTTGCCGCTGCCAGATTCTGCTCTTTATATCTGCCACGAACGCACGGGCTGCTATGATCTTCCAGGTGAATTTCAGGTTGACATCTCTTCTGCGAAGATGCGTTTGGTGGGACAAGTCATTAGGCTTGTCGTGGGTTGAAACCCGAAACTGGAAGAAATTGGGCGGACAGTGGTGCTCACCGAAGAAAGGTTACTGCGTAATTACTCTTGAGAAAACTCAGTGCTTCTTGGACGGTAGGGGCGATGCTTGCCCAGAATTCAGTAAATCAACCACCAGGTTTTGGTACAGATTTGGCAGGCTGGTGATGCAGGTGATGTCCTTGGTGTTGTGTTATTTGCGTACACTGCCCTCATCGATCCTTCATTAGGCGTCTGGGCGCCACGCGGGGAAATGTCAAAGCGCGCTTCCCGCGTGCGCTGGATGTGGGCGCTGGCATTGGACGGGACCCTAGACTGGCTTGAATTGGCTGTTGAGGGTCAGGTTTTGGTTGTGCGTGACCTTTAAAACTGTTCCTTTCAAAACGCAAAGCCCGTCAGTTCAAACATGGTGGGGTGAAGCCTGGCACAATTGAATGCGTTGCCAGCCAAGGCTCCATGAGAGCGAATATCGTGCCTGAAAAAGCTAGGCATTTTACGCAATAATGGTATCCTAAACATGTCGTATCATTGTCACAAAAATAGCTGTTTCACATGTGAGCAACCACTTTTATTTAGGCTTTACTAAAGTAGTCTACGGCATGCTCTATTTGCTGGTCTATCATCAGTATTCGCTTGTGAACGAGATAGGCCCCCACAATCACGAGATATATCTTTTGTTTGATGTCACTAAAGCAGTCTGAACGAGATAGTGTGATTTGCTACTAAAGTAGTCTGAGTGAGATACTGTGACATGACCTCCTGCTTAAGTAGTCTAAACGAGATAGGGCCCCCACATAAGAGATAGTATATTTGAGCCAAGTACCAAATAAATGCCGTCGCACATGTGTGGATTCACCAGAGGTCTTTCCGCCACTGGATTATCTGGTGAATATATGTGAATATGCCTCACCAGTCACCAGTGAGCATCAACCCGCTCTTTAAAGAATATGGTTTCCGAGGCAGACTTGCTCAACATCTTCTCGGTGCCCGATGTGATTTCGTAGACTTGCATGGGCCCCAACATCGCTTGAGTCAATCGTTGAGATACATTTCTGGCTGCGGATCTGCTCCGTGGGGCACAAACCTTTAGCCTCGCACCACACGCACTGCATGATCAAATCTTCACCCATGGCACCGAGCCAGTGAAGGGCCGTTTTCTTCTTGGAGCGGAACCATTTTTTTGAGACACGAGTATAGATATCATAGATATAGTAGATATTGATAGATGAATAGATAGCTAGGCTAAATGGCCTAAATGCAGGCTCAACAGGACAAATTGACTTTGACTTTGATGAGGCTGGAACCTGTAGAGAAACATCTGGAAGCCGCGAAGAAGGAGTTGCACCAAGCAACATGGTTCCTGAGCTTTAAAGCTGCCATGCCGGAGGATGTATTTGATTATTCACCATTCGTGGGCGGGATTACAAGGTAGTCCAATGGTAAGAAGATGGGATAATGATGGGATAGGATCTTTTTTGAGTCCAATGGTAGTGGGTTGATGTTTGGGACAAGCAACTTTATTGAATGATTCGGAGATGTTTGGGAGATGGGTGCAGACGCCAATGGGGTCCACGACAACGCACTCTAATACATGAAGAAAGGAAACAAAAGTAGAAGAGCTATTTTTGCAACCACTTTCCAAGTGAGTTTTGCAATGGTTTCCATGTCAGATTGATACGGGGTACCCTCATATCAGCCGAGCCGTAAGCACCCGACTATTTCATTGTCACCCTCACGTGACGTTTCGGCTTCATGGAGGCCTCTCCTTCCTCAGACCAAAACCTCCAGAGTGAAATCCAACGCCTCGAGGCCGGGCGACTTCTACTGCGCGACATTGCAGGACTTTCAATCCACCAGGCTGGGGGACTGGGCGGGAATCCTGCCGTTTCGGACAACGTGCACTGGGCGGGGAAGTGAAATTTACGTCTCCACGCGTGCAGGTGAGACGAAAAGGATACCACTTTTTTGGCATGGATGCTTTAGGTGAGATGTAAGCTTTCATGAAGATCCTGGCATGGATTTGCCAGCAAGGTGTCCATCTTGGGCCATCCAAGTTGGAGAAACGGTTAGGATCAAACGGGTAGGATCAGCTCTGGTATGAGATCTACTTTTGCTTGCTTTTTTGTCCGCTTGCTGCTGCACGTTTGTGCACCCCGGAATTTCACCCACGTTTTGGAAGACCCTTTGATTCAAGCGATCACTTCGTTTGGAGGGCCATCTCCCTCCATCCACTACCAATTTAAGCATGGCAAGATCACACTTTTGCAAGAGGCTGCGCCATCATGCGCAACCTGAAAAGGGCCTATCTTCCACAATTGTCAATCATTTTCTTCTATCCAAGAGGTGCTTCTTCAGCTCCTCCCGGTCACAACCCTTTCCGCTTTCGAAAGCAGTCCCCTTTCTGCAGGCTCTACGACCTGATTTGGTGCCAGTGGTGACCTTAGACGGATCCATGAATGGCTGGCTGCCAGGGAAGATGGTCTTTGGCGGCCCAAATCTTCGTCTTCCATCAGTGGGGGAGGTGTCAAACTCACAAGCCCATGATAGATAACCATGCCACAACAATGCCATAACATGCCAGTTGGACATCATGAAGAGACTAGATATATTCTGTTCGTTTTGTTCATTGCACATGAACATAATGGGGCTTTGACCCATCTCAATCCTCGTGACCAAGAAGGCAAGCAAGCACTATCGAATTCTCCGGAAACCTCCCCGCAAAATCATCAGAAATCCGTCCATGTGCCATAGAGAGATCATTGGTAGCAGATTAAACACAGCTGTTGGACCAACCACGATGACCATCCGATGTTTGTTTCGAAAAACCGCAGAGCACATGCCTCTTCGGACCTCTACTCCTTCACTCAGGTGGGTTTTGATGTATATCACCGACGCGGACGCCGGGGACATCAGCCCGTGTCTCTTCCTTTCACGAGGGTGCCCCGCGAAAACGACGGTGTTGTTTCCGTGTCGGAGATGGATGGACTCATGGTTGTTTCGCGGTGAGTTCTCAGTCGAAATGCACTGAGAATGTTTGGTCAGTGCTCAGCAGCCTGTCAGCAAGGGAAGTCAGGTCGGCGCCCATCTCGCTTGCACAGCGCTTGCACAGCGCCGATGCTCGCCGAAACAGGGGCGCCGTTGACCAGTTCCTGTGCGGGTGGGAGTAGCTCGAAGTAAAGTGGTTACGTGTTGCAGTGTTGCTTCCATCAACAACAGGGTGATATGTCGCAAGAAGCATCAGATATCATCCCCATCGAGAACCTGTCAACCTTCACTATCGATTTTCACTTGGCAGGGGCGTAGCGCAAGTGATTTGCCCACGGCCGTCTCCGTTAACAGAAGCATACTTGAGGTCTTGGACTTTCTCCGTCGCGCCATCCAGCTCTTAGCGCAACTGGGCAGCGGAACTGATGGATCAAGATGGTTGTGGCTGAGGTGGTGCTTTACAAAGCGCAGACGGACAAAACAACAACTCTTAGGTTGGAGGCCATCGCTCTTAGGTTGGTGTTGAAACTGTAGATTCTAATTGTTTGTTTCCGGAGGGCGCACAGAGTAAAACAGTGTTTTCCAGTTGGACTGATGCATCCTTTTTGCGTCCATTGTCGTGCGCCGTGCACCAGCCAGTCTGAGGCCTGGTCTTTGGTTCAAGTTCAAACATGTTCAAACCGATGATCGCCACCGGTTTGCCGATTTCCCGTGGGTCCAGCCGTCCATAGGCCAGCTGGGACTCTGGTTGTCAAGGCAGCGAGCTGAACGTTGGCGGTTGAGGAATTGTTTCCGGACGAAGCCTTTTTTGCCAACGTCATGTCCAAACAGTGTTTCCCTCGGCATGAAAAGACACATGAGAGATGATCAATCCACTTGATGTTTATTTTTTCTTACATTCATATATATATATATATCATACATAGTCATATAGTGAAGATATTGAGCATGTCGCAAAGATGAGGCTGCCCCTGTTTGGAGACACATCCTAGCTAAGCCAGCCTACAACCCAGCCAGATTCTAATCTGGATGATCCACCCTGCAGTCCTTCAGTGCATTTCAGAAGATGTTTCACTGATGAGGAGGAGAAGGGTTCTTGGCAAGTCGGTGGTTGGGGGAACCCAAATAAGCAATTTGGCTGTAGTGCAGAGTCCTCCTGTAATTTTGGAACCTTTTTCTCATTCGCTTTTTAGGTTCTATTTTGTGTTTTTTTGCTGCGCAAGAACGACCTCTTGGACTGAAGTGAACTGTCTAAATCGCATCCTTTGCTGGGAAGGAGGAGATATTCAGCATGGAGAGAGTCATCTTAGCCCTGGTTCTAAGAAAGACATCCCAGAATTCCCAGCAGCCAACCACCGGGGCTCCTGAATTTTGTTCGTTTTGGCACAGGAAAATGTCGCGCAGTCACGCCAGAATCTCAAAGTTTCGCAAGCATTTTACAGTTGAGCACTCATAGAATCGGCCGAAGCAGCTTAAGTTTCATCGATTTCCTTGTACGCTGCACGAACAGCACGATAAGTGTCACTCAGCGGTGATTTTGTCATGGTGAATGATTTGTGAAGATGAAGCCCAGAAGGCGCCTGAAGGCCCAGAAGGCGCCTGAAGTCCTAGGAAGCCTAGGACTGGGATTCATGTTTCGTGACAGTTTCATCTTTGGGGGATCAAAGGCTCTACGAGGTCAAGACCAGGCGCAGCTGCTGAGCGGAGCGGAGCGTTCCAAGGTGTGGGATCTTACTTTGATGATGAAGAGGGTGAACTCTGGCGTCCAAACCTCAGACTTGGAACGATATTTTTTCCGGACCGTAGATGTATAGATTCGCAAGTGCATGTTTTGTTGCATGCAACAGGTTCTGTGTTTAAATAGATCCTCTATAGCTTTGTTAAGAAACCACTACTGTGAATACTGGGATTTTCTTCCCCTCTAGATCATCGGCCTGTTTGGATCGGGGGAAGCAGGAATCTCAAGGTATAGGCATCGGTATCGAACAGCCTGAGATCCACTTAATGCGAATACAGAATACATTTTTCAATTCATTCAACACCTGTTGAGAAGTACTCCACTTCGCCATGCTGAGAATCCACCGACTGTCAGGTCACGAGAGAGGAGCGAAGACCGGGCCAATGTCGGTGCTGTTCTCACCTCGGTGATTTCGTGGTGTCACCGTGTCACATATTTTTTGGGACCTTGTGAAAGTAGAGAGAGAGAGAGAGAGGAAGAAAGGGGATGAAAAGTGGTTCTGAAAGACGGAAAGGTGTTCACACTGGCGCAGGATCATGGCGGGACACTGGGGCAGTGAAGACTGGGATGTTCAGGCTGTCGAGTACTCTCGGACTTTTGAAGAGATGCTGTATGTTTGTTTTCTCAGGCCTCGATTGACCAGGATTCAATACCGAATCCACACATCGTTCCACGGAACTGGGTGCCTCGCGTTCCCTTCCGAACCGCCCTTCCGAACTGGTTTGAAGGTCCGGCACGCTCAGGGACCCCATAGTCGGGGAAAGGAACCCACGCCTGAGGCGAACACCGGAGCACTACCTGAAGCTCTTCCGTGAATGTGGGCTGCGCGGCCGAAAGAGGACAGAAATGTGTGACAGAGACAGTGCCTAGAGACGGTGCATTCATGTGCATTCTAACTTTTGGGAGCTTTAAGCAAGGGCGGGTGTTATGAAGTGTTATGGTTCTCACGAAGGATGAGTTGCAGATTGTTTCATCCAAGACCCGTAAGAAAGCTCTTTTCAGTCCAAGCAGTGTAATGGAATGGTTAGCATTGGTATGCATTGGTTAGCCAGATGTATAGCAGCTATGACAGAAATCTAGCCCATTTGGTTATGATTTTTTCCTTCCGCTGCGAAAGGATGATCTGTGGCACGTTGACTGGACGTAGAATACACTGTTGCCCCTGTTGGCACGCATCTGACAACACTTCCGTACAGGGTGGCCTTAAGTCTAGTCATGGGTGGCCTGGTGGCCTTAAGTATTTCTGAATTGGTCAAAACCTTGCCAACTCGATAGGGGCCAACCCTATACCTATACCCTGTCTTGATTGAAAGTAGAACCCTGCTTTCCAAAACACTGGACACCGATAGGGGCCAATCCAAAATACTTTTGGCATTGGGAACACGAAGAAGTTTTGTCTGAAACCATTTGGAGATGTCTGACCATTTACTGTATGTGGATGGGTTAGTCGTGAGTGGACAGTCAACATGATTGTATCTCTCCCTCTCTCTCTCTCTCTCTCTTTCGTTTAGGTTTGTGGTGGTCATGCGGCGACGACAGTTCTTCTCGAATGATGAGATGTGCCATGCTCAGATTTTGATTGCGTTGCATGTCGTTCTGAATGGGCCAGGGTGTGTCAGAAATCCATAAACTCCCAGCTTGCTTTCAGGAGGTTTATATAAAATGGAGCTGACGCTGGGGGGAAACCTCAGATCTGAGTATTAAAGTATTGCTCCAATTCTTCAAGGGCGGGGTGTTGTTTGCATCTATTTGCCGGTTGCTCTCAACCTCGCATTCTGGGAGTGTCTTCACCCCAGCCCCAAAGGCCCTAAGACCTACTGGACCACTTCCAGCCAGGACCTTCAAAGTGACCACTTTGGTATCTCTAAGGGACCTCTTTGGGGACAAGTCGTGACCTCATGACCTGGGATCTCAAGCTTGGTCACTTTGAAGGTCCTGGAGTGAAGAATAAGGCTCAATAGGAAGCTATAGAAGCTAGAAACCGCTACACACCACGAAAGCACTATGTTGCACCTGTGACCTGGTTGAGAGCGGTTTCGGTTTCGGAAGGCGAGCCGATCTGCGTCTCAGCAGCTTGGTATACTCCAGGGAATCTTCTATTGTCTAAAGATTTTTTTTGCTTTTTAATCAAAAAGTCCACAGTTGACCCAATCTTGTGAAAGACCCTGAAAGACCCTGAATTACAGCCCCATTGGGCTTGGGGGACTCAGGAAGTTGTAGACTTTGAGAGAAAGATAGAGAGAGAGAGAGACTGTGGCACTGGACCACCCATGAAGGCCTATGGTCCTGTTCACCTTAGCGCTACCCACACGATCGGACGAGGCTCGTCCGATGGTTAAGCAGGGAAGCACCAGGGGGGTGGAGTGTTGGGCGCGGGCGACGTTTGAGGACAGCAACGTGCACTTTTAGCTTCAACATATTCGATTGGTTGAGGTGAGTGTTACAATTTTGATGGCTTTTGGGGTCATTTCTAGTCTTTCATAGCTATTGCAGATCAACACTTTAGTTTACGCCCAGTCATCCCTGAAGCAAAACTTGCGATCAACCTCCCATGGTCAGAATGCCCGTTCTCTCAATTTGCGATTCGTCACACCTCCCATGGTCTTCGTGCCAGAAGCATGCCATGTGATGTACGACTGCAGTATGTTTCAGTATGTACTGAACAATTCCCTTTGGGTCAAATCCCCTTCCTTGCGGAAGGTTTGATATTTTTCCGTTTTCCGGAAACAGCAACTCCAAGTTTTTGCTCGCCCCGCTTCAGAGTTCAATGGCTCAAGCGCCCGCCATGCACGGCGCATCCTGCGCGGTGGCCTCCGTGCTGTTGGTCGCCACGGCAGAGCCCTGGCCTCCGCAGGTGTCGGTCAACGCGACGCTGCTAGTGGCGGGGCTGATCCGCAACGGTGAGGACGATGCTTTTCTAGTTGAGTGTGATGTCTTTTGGTTTGGTGGATTTTGTTGGCATCGTTTGTTTTTCGTTGGGAAGGGTCTCAGTCTCTTGGAAGATTTAACAAGCAGTATTGGCCAATCTTTGGTGGAGACGCGGCTTGAGGTGGCTTTCCACATTGATGTTTTCGCGACGTCTTGTACCTTAAAGTGCCAAACCCGCTTCTTTCCCGGCCACGTCCAAGCTGTTGGAGGAGTTTTTGCCCAAGCTTCAGACAAAGGTCGAAGGATGGGGACGCTTCTTTGAAGAAGCGCCTCAGTGGCAGAGGAGTTGGACCCTTCGTTGAAGGGGCGTGATGTACTTAGAGGCTTAACGGTAGACGTGGAGAATAGGATGGACATGGATGAGGACTTGTCCCAAGCATTTCAAGGTTCTTGTGCTCCGGTTTTTTTGTAGGTTGTTGATGGGTCTTGTGCATCATTGGTAAGTCCTGAAGATGCTGGAGGAGTATGCTACTGCGCCTGAAATCATGACGGCCCACTAAATCAACCCTCATGACGTTTTTGGCCCAGCTTGAGTGCATACATCTGCCCTGGCAGTGTTTTTTTCTTGCACCAGCTGACAAGTCCAGGTGTTAGGAAAGAAGACGAGAAGACCTGAACATCGACTCCGACTTGCCAATGGGTTTTGGATGGTTTTGGATGGGTCATCCAGGTCATCCATGATTGGGTCGTCCACTTTCTCGTCTACGTCCTTCGACTGATCACATCTGATCACCAACATTTCGGTCCAATGGATCACCGCATGACGTCCGACAGGTGCACGTGGTGCTCGTGGAGAACGACTCCACGGACGGCACCCATGCCTTCCTTGTGGCGTGGGCGAAGGAGCTAAAGAGACGAAGGAGCCGAGATCTGGATGGGCTGAGCGGGTGGAAGAGAGAGAGAGAGAGAGAGCTTTGCCGATCGCTAAATTCACGACCGGAACACTAATGATCATTAGTAATAGACAAAGACACATTTCTCCAAACACTGTCCTCGCAAAGCTCATAGAAACAGACAGATCAAACGACTTTAAGGGCAATGAAACGTTGATTGTAGGGCCTCTAAGCCACTGAAAGGAACAACCAGCAATCGGAATCCTCAGTTGACAAAGTCGTTTCATCACACATTTTGACTGAACTTCATCACTTTTTCTCCGGAAAACCCTGCAACTTCCAGAACCGGCGCGCACCAAAAAGACAGAGGAACGGAACATACCAAGCCACCGCAGAAAAAGAAATCACGCGGCGAACCGCTGGCGCGACGCGACCTGTCTCAGGAGCTCCCGAGCCTCCCGGGTCTCTCTGCACCTGATCTCCAAAAGCTTCAGGGATGATCCGAACGTGGGCCACTACCAAACTCGTGCAGACTTGAAGATGAAGGGCTGGGCGGCTCGGCTATAAAAAGACATGATCAATCATTGTACATTCAGTACATTTATACATACAAACATACAATTACATCAAAAGATCATCTGTTCTTCTTTATGTAATTATCGCTGTTGGTCCTCATGAATGTTTTTGTGATTTGGTGAACATAGTGCAGCTGGCGAGATGTCACCAGGATATCGTTTAGTTGGATTCATATCATCGATACAATCCTAGCCTTGCTGGCAGCGGGGGTGGTTGATGCGTTTTATTGTTTATTCCCGAAAGCACCTGCGAAGGGTTTTTCCTTAAGCACTGCTGCCTATTTCATCTTCCTTAATCTCTTTCTCTTACTTCATCTTCCCCACTCTCTCTTCCTTACTCTCTTTCTCTTACTTCATCTTCCCCACTCTCTCTTCCTGACTCTCTTTATCCTACTTCACCTTCCTTACTTCATATTCTTTACTAACTTTCTCCTACTTCACCCTCACAACATCATCATCTAATCATCACCTCATAGGTTATTAATCTCATATCATATCATATTATATCATATCAGGTTATAATATCATATCACATCACATCAATGTCATAACATATCATATCATATCATGTTTTAATATCATATCACATCACATCAATGTCAGATCATATCATCTCATATCATGTGATAAAATAATATCACATCACAACATAACATATGAAGTAGAAGTATCAGATCAACAATATCAAAGTACATCAGAAGTAGATATTGATAGGTAGGTATTGATAAGTGGGTATAGACAGGTAGGTGTAGGTAGGTAGGTGTAGATAGGTAGGTGAAGATAGGTAGGTGAAGATAGGTAGGTGTAGACATCTTCCTTAAGACACCTACCCAACTTCACCTACCCAACTTCTTCTTTATTCTTCTCTTTAGGCGGCGGGGCGGTGCGAGCAGGTCTTACGAAACGCAACCCTCTCGTGGAATCGTGGCCATCGATCGCGCGCGCGTGTGGTGAGACGCGAATCGCGTTTGTCCGTGAGCAACCCTCTGCGGAGATCGTGCGTGTCGAGTGCACGAACGTGTGGTGAAACGTACATTTTGTCTGAGCGCGGCTGGGCGCACCATTATAATTCTGGTCACAAGGATGTCGCCAATGCGCGGTCCGGACCGCATACTCATTGGGAAATGCGATTCCAAGGTCTGTGCCCGGTCTGTGCCCGGATCGTTCCCCCATTGTAATTCTGGTCGCAAGGATGTCGCGAATGTGCGCTGCGGACTTCATACTCGTTGGGAAATGCGATTCCATGGTCTGTGCCCGGAGCGTTCCCCCATTGTAATTCTGGCTCGAAGGTGTTCCTGTGTCATCGCTCGGAGCGTAGTTACATTGTGTTTTGCAAGCTTTGGTTGCTAATCGCCTTATAGTTCTGGCTCGAAGGTGTTCCTGTGTCATCGTTTGGTGCGCAGTTACGTGGTGTTTTGCAAGCTTTGGTTGCTAATCGCCTTATAATTGCTACTGCAATGGTTTCCAACGTACTTTTTTCCAAGTTTTGCCGCTTTCATTTTTCTTATAAATCTCTTTTAAAAAACGCTTCGAAATCGCAATTTTTGGAGCTTGGACGTCGAGATCCGGTTTTGGGAGGCTATTCTCTGTGCTTGCGGTGCGCAGTTACATGGTGTTTTGCAATCTTTGGTTGCTAAATCGCCTTATAGTTCTGGCTCGAAGGTGTTCCTGTGTCATCGTTCGGTGCGTAGTTACATGGTGTTTTACACGCTTTGGTTGCTATTCGCCTTATAGTTCTGGCTCGAAGGTGTTCCTGTGTCATCGTTCAGTGCATTTGTATGAGCATTGGTTGTCCTGATGCCAGGTTGGGACGTGCGATTTCGCACACTTCGGCGGCTCTTACTACCGGGACTAGCGTTTGAGCTCGACCGGCGCTGGATAAAAAAGAATCGACCGGGACTACCGTTTGGGCTCCGAAGTACAGTGCAACAGAATATACATTAATAGATTTGGTAATAACGTGATAATAGTATCATAATCATAATGTATATATATATATAGATATATATATATATATTATATATTGTGTCATCTCATCATCATCTCATTTTGTTTCATCTTAATGTTTTGAATCATCATATATCATCTCTTCATTTCTTTAGTGCTCATTCATCTTCTGTTACTTCGCTTTTCTTCCCTTCTATTTGTTCTCTTCCGCCTACTTGCTTTCGGGCCACCCTGTCGTCTAGTTTTTTGCCAAGTGACTCAAGGACCAGGGATATTCGTGGAACCTCTTCCAGAGGTTTCTAGTATAGCTCAGAAATACGGATTGATTCTTAAACCACCCTTCGTGAAGGATGGTTCAGGCTCATCCCAGCCTAATCCGACTCATCGGACTCATCGCTCTTGAGCACGCACCGACGTGGACGGCCTCCGCCCATTCGCTCGACGGTCGGAGCAGCGGACGGAGCAGCGGACGTGACGCAGCGCCTGAGCGCCTCAGGTCATGATGGGGTCCGGTTTCTGGCCTCTCGGCTTTGGAAAGGGTGGCTAGAGAGAAATGGCCACCAGGAAGACCAGAGGGAGGACCAGAGGGACAGACCTTTTTTTTCTTTCCACCAGACCTTTCTTTTCACCTTTTCTTGTGTATAAGACTTTCTTCGTTTAGACGCTGACCATATTTTTGTTTTGGGGGGTGGCTAGATTGTTTATTCTTTAGCATTTGTTTGTGGTCGCCTTTTGAGGATGTTTGGTGACGGTCATGTTCAACTCTTGGGTTCCAAACGACTCGCAGTGTTTCACACATTGCACATCGCCCCAACAGACACACCGGAAGAACCGGCTTCTGGTAATGATGTTCATGATGTTCATGAACATCGTGGCTGGTCGTGCGCCCAAGCAGTGCTTGGCCCCACTCTTGCTTTCAAGAGTATAACAACTTCACAAGTGAAGAGCATCATCCTTCAATGCCAATGCCGAAACATAGAGAGGCTGACCATGTTGGGTCTGTCCGTTCTTGCCGGTAACAGTCAGTAAAGAATGGCCATCCATGACCACTATTTTTGCACTTCAGGCCTGCAACCTGGTAATAGACCAGCATCCACTGAAGCCTGGTAATAGATGGTCATAGGATTGACCCAATGACCAGCATCCACGTTGACGCGAGTTCACGTCAACTTGGCTGCCCGAGGCGAAGCTTCGGAACCTCTACTTGCGGAAGCTGCGAGCGCTCTACGTGCCGAAGGTGCCGTTGGCCAGATTGGGATGGGATTGTTGGACCTAGGCAAAGGATCAAGTTGGCGCCTGAATGGTGTTTTTTTTGTTGCATTTCTTCGCACTTTTTCTTTGCCATGTTTTTGTTAAACCTGAGGTTATGTTGGGAACTCAGAGTTTAGCAGGAATTCGTTCTTGCGGTTCGAAGAAAGACGTCAGAAACACCCAGTCCAGGAGTTGCCACGTCCTGTCCTCCTTTCCCGCTTTTGGAGGATCGTTTAGGATGTGGAGACCTGGATCTATGTGGGTGAAGACTTAAAACACCAACAAACACAGCAGTGGAGCAGCCTTGAAAGCTAGAGAAATTGGGCCTGGTGACTCTGTTTAGTTGGAGGAAGGTGCTTACAGGCCACAAGATTTTCAACTAACCACGAGTGTCATGGTGTGTGGCTTTGACGCTTGAGTAAGCTGGGCACTGAGGTGAAGCACTGGATCCTCATGCTGGATCTGGATCTGGACCTTCAATGGGACGATCATCTACTTCTGGAAGCCATTGAACATCCAACGCATTGGCCACTCAGCCGACGACTCGTCCGTTGCGCGCTGTGGGTTCCACTGAGGGTGCCACGAGGAGATAACGGAAGTCAGGAGTTCTGACATAGTTCTACTATGTTCCACTGAGTTCCGCAGATCTTTTGCTTGGGTCTGGGGTTAGCAGCCTCATTGACATCCCACCCCCCAAACATCCGCAAGAACTCAGCTCGGCTGCTCGGCTGCCCGGCTCGGCTCAGCTCCCGAGGCACGTGCTTTGCGCGCACAGCACCTATCGAAGTGGCGTTCGGGCGCTCTACGATGCATTCGCCTTGAGAAGCTCTGAACTTCAGCCCTGGGCGCCCTATGACTTCGAGAAGGTGTCCGGGAAAACACGCCGCGGGGGGTGGATCGGGTTTCTTGCTGGGCGGGTTTTCAGGGCGAATCTGGGGTGGATCTTGGGGGGGTTGAAACGGTCAGAACACAGTGACGTTCGCATGGGGGAGCTTCTTTGTGGAATTTGGGTGGTTTTCGCCATGTGCTCCGAAGAACTCCTATATAGACTATATAGGTCCTATAGGGGTCTTCCCTCTGGAATCTGAGTCCCTAGGCGCTGGGTCGCAGCTTCTTCCCGCATGGTCTCTGTGGACTCCAACGCCTCTGGGCGGCCAACGCGGCCGACGCGGCCGTCTCGTCCGTCCTGCCGGTGGAGAGCTGCTTCGGCGGGTTGGCGCTTTATCGGCAGGACCGGTGGCGGTGGCGGAAGTGGAGCGACTGCAGGAGAAGGAAGCGGAGAGTCTTCTGTTCTTGTTACAGTTGGGGTTGGAATCGAGGTTGTGGGTTGAGATGGGTACTGGCAGAAACTCTGGCCATACAGGGTGCACAAGACAAGACAGAACAAGACCTGGACGTGTGGACTGTTTCTCTTTTGCGAGTTGTAGGGGTGTGGTGGGATGTGGGATCTGACTAGAGATTTGTAGAGAATCGTCAGCAGCATGTTGGGGCTCCTTCGCAGATTGATGAGGCTGGAATGGCTAGAAGTATGTCTCTTTGGAGCAACATTTAATTTTTTGGTGATTTCTGTTTTCCAATAGAAAAGGAAGCAGTCAAATAGATGTCCGTTTTTCTGGGGAAGCAACATCTGGGGAAGCACCTCCTTTTTTTTTGGATGAAAAAGGGCTCCTCTTGCGCTGCTGCGAGGCTCAAAGGAGAGGAGCTCACCTTCTCCACATCTGTTGATCGGAGACGTCCGGAGACGTCCGGAGACCGACACCTCGGCGGATCGACGCGTCTCGGTCCGACTCGGGAGTCGCGAGACTCGTCGCGAGAGGAGCTGTTGACCGACTTCAAGGGCTGTGGATATGATGAGGAGATGGATGATTGCGAACATGTGAGTTTGCACCGCTGTCTAAGACTCTTTGCGCAGCTTTGCATTATGCTTTGCTATGCATGGGAGGGTGATGAGTGCCCTGCCCCCTCGACAATTTTCCCTTCTGTGCAGCCCAAACTTCAAGACTGACAATAAGAAAAGAAAGAAAGCCAATGGAAGACTCCAAGCTCTGCGTGGTTTCACGTTCTTCTTTTTTCGCGACTCGTCATGACCGTGTGACCTGCATCATGTCAGTTGTTTGCTTCTTTGCATCCTCGAACTGCTTCAGGGGAGAAGGGCGCCACAGTGGTATTGTATCCCAGACTTGCGCCAGCGGCTTTTGCTTCACCGTCCACATGTTGCGTGGAGACCTGCCAACAAGCGACACTCGCTTCTGATAGCAGCTTCTTGCTGTCTTTTGCTGCGTACTTGATGTTGCTTTCTTTGGTTTGGTTTCATTGATTGTTGGTTGGTCTTGCTGCTGCTGGTGGGGAAGTTAGTTTGGCCACCAAACAAAGATACCGCAACCGAAGTAGCCTATCTACGAACATGGTCGCCATCTTCAGGAGATAAAGGGATGGTCTTACTTCAGTACTGTAGCAACAAATTTGTTCGACGTTCGATGTTCATCGGGTAGTTGGAGGTGTTCTTCGGGGATTCGATGTTTCAAGCGTGACATCTTCAGAATTCTTCAGAGTTTTATTTTAAGATCTTTTGTGTTTCAATTTCTTTGTGAACGACGCTGGTGAGGAATCAATTCCCCATGTCCTTCTTACCGTTCCAGGCCCAGTTCTATCAAGAGAAAGTCTCCAAGCTCCTGGCACAAGGCCTGTCCTTCGAGGAGTCTGGACGTCTGCAGGACGCCTTAGCGACCTACGTGCAAGCTGCTCAAGGGCCTCAGAGTTCCTGGCGCGCGAGGGCAGCGCTTCTGACTGCCTTTCTCTTGTTACAGCACAAGCATGTAGATCAGGCGTGGCTCTGAGTGTGGAAGACGCTGCCTCCCAAATCTGATTTGTATCAAGGGGGGATCTTGCTTGTTCAGAAAAGGTCTTACTGTAAGCGTTTGAAGTACAAGTGCGATCTGTGGTCATTTTTCCGGTGGTGAATATTCCCTGCAGAGGATGCTCATCTTCTTTCGATGTATATAGATCTGTGTTGGTTCATCGGCATCCTTGCCAAAGGTGAAGGGATCAATGAAAGGACTTACCCGCCACGTGTATACTGAGATAGTGAATGACAACTTGTTGCATAGGCAGAAGCTGGTGCCTTTTCCCCAACAATGAGCCGGGTGATTTGTCAATTGTTCTCACTTTGACATGAATTGTGACCAGCAACCAAGATAAGTGGTCTAAGAATTGTGAAAACCGGAACAAACCCCGACTCCTGTAATTCCTTTCTTCAGTATTGACACTTTCACTAAGAGTCGGCTTTTTCGAACCAACATTTTGCCCCGCAATTTTCCCAAACGGACCGTTTCTTTAACGACTCGACCAGTCTGCTTGAAAACAGGTGTAAGCGGATCACTCCAGTCCCACTTTGGGTGGTTTCAGAGATTTTCTATATCTTTACTTGGCATGATTGATCCCGTTGAATAACATGTTTCAAGTGAATTGAAATGACCAGCCACATGGATCTCTTTGGCCAAAGCGCAGTAGGTTGGTGTTTGCAAACTGTTTGTTTGAGACTGGCAGGCCATAGCTTGGTGCGGCTTGGGGGTTGTTTGGGCCAGATGAACCACAACCTCATTGACTCCAACTATATAGGAGATTTGACAAAAGCCAAAGCCATGTTGGAGCGGCCGGTAGACATGGATTGGCCAATAAGCATGACATTGGTGCAATTTCAATCAATTTCAGAGATTCGTCTTTTCCAAGCAATTGAGCCAAATGACCCAATCCACTCAAACGATTAACGATCCAACGGATTTCAGGGACCACGAGTCCTGCTGGAGGCTCTTCCCCTGCTGAAGCAGTCTGATGTGCATGACTTGGCCACAGCTGATCCACGGTCGGCTTTAATCCTGGGCCATGTGTCTCGGCTCTACTTGAGGTAAGTGGTGTGGCTCTAGAGGACCCAAAAGTCACTCTGGAAACACCCCCCCACACACCGGCCGGACTCAAGTTGCGCTTTGTTGAAGATGATTTCACCCTTCCCAGAATCCAATATGCTGTGACCTGTGAAGATGTTAACCCTGGGACACCGTTACCATTAGATTCAATCGTCCCACATCACCTGCCACACGCACACATGGGACTTGTCAGTTCGATCTTTGACGGGATGGTGTCTTATGAAAGCAGGTTAAAGCATAAATTTGTTTCTGCCTGAAGTAGTCACATACTCCCCAACCACAACTCAATTTGCCGCAGTCATATGCCCGCGTTACACGACTGCCCGTCTTCATCCCCACAACTGTATGGCTCAAGAATAGAGCAACCGCTTGGGGGACCACGAAGAACGGTTCATGGGGGGAAACTGGCAATCTATGTATATACCTAGACCTAGACCTAGAACCTGCATGACCTCTATTTTGGACCACCAACCACCCAAAATATGGCCTTTTCCTATCATTACATATATACATATATTATAGATTATGTATTATTTTTTTTTGTCCGGCTCTTTTACTGCAGCAAAGTTCTTGTTGGACTCATGCCAACAGCTTGCGGATGTCATAGAAAGCCTCTGTCTTGCATGGTCGGCGGAGCTTGGCGTTGAGGAGCACGGTGCCACGACTATAACGAGGGCAAAGCTGCCGTGGCCAATGGCACGGCGGACAGAGGCGCACCACTCAAGGTCCGTATGTACCGGACACTCCTCCGTGGTGTGGAAGAGCAGGCCACGCCCTACCCAGCAACCCAGGAGAGTGTTCGGGCACTTCGGTCTTTCGATGCCTCTTGGGCGATTGGCAGCTTGTCGAACGCCAACAGGCCACCTCCGGAAGGCAAACCCTGGGTGCTGCTATGTACCTTTGCCGCGTCGGAGAGCGGCCGTGCACTTCGTCGTCTTTGGGGTGCGGCCCCCCTTGCCACCCTATGGACCAAGCAGCCTGATGGACAATGGCCCCCTGTGGGGGTCAAACCCGGGGTTCCGCGCCCTTCTCGGAAGGTCGTTGTTGCAGCTGATGCCGTCGGCATTCAACTTAAAGGCAAAGGTTTCGGAAAAGGTGCCGGCCCCTCCACCCACATCAGCCCAAAGCGGCCCGCCAGTGGCGATGGCAATGGTTCTCGACGCAGTCGACGCCGTTTCTTGGCTTGTACCTTTTCTGGCTCCTGCTTCTATCATCTTATAGTGCGTTTCCGGTCTCGTCCGGGCACGGGGTCTGGTCTCGTCCAGGCCCCTACTTCACATTTTCTAGTGGGGTTCCGGTCTTGTCCGGGCCCCTCAGCCGGTTTCCGGTCTTGTCCGGAACCTTTTATCCGTGCCTCTGTGGCGGGTGCTGGGCTCTGGGTTTTGGGGTGCTGTCTGCCGATGTGCTGGCTTGGTGCGTGGATCAGGGACTGTCTGCCTGCTGGTGCTCTTTCCCCCTACTTTCTCCGCTGTCCTCGCTTGACGCTGTCTCTTTCCGTGGGTACGTCCCACTGATGGCCCTGGTTGCTTGCTACTTGTGCCTCCCCCCCCCACGTAGATTTAGCGCTCTGCTGAAATTTTGTCTTTACAATTTTGGGTTCTACTTTGTCCCCCTACATGTATAGTGGTACAAGGTTTTGTTGCTTGGCCGGAACAACACTGGTACCGAGGAGGATGATGGAACCGCGTGGACTTCAACCGCGGAATCGCGGATGCGAAGTACCTCCCGGAGCACGGTGCCATCTTGAAGCCTGGACCTGACGTGGCACTTCTGGCACTCGACCACATTGCCTGTTCTCATCATCGGATGAGTAGGGTGCCCAAACCAAAGGTCACTGGCGAGTGGTCCGTGATGGCAGACTTCGCCAAGGAAGCGAGTGAAGATCTCTTCTCCAGCCCTAGCAAGCACGTAGCTTCGACACTGTGTGCAGCGTAAATACGCTTTCTCCAGGCGCAAGTGGTGAGTGCCTGGTTGAACCTCCCCTTGGCTTTCCAGCAGGTCATGTATGACCTCAAACCGAGTCTTCTTGTTGGATTGGGTCGGAGCAGCCTGTGCACAAGGTGAAGTGAGGCCTTCACGAAGTTCCTTGATCATCGACTTGGTGTGATACCTCACACGGCATTGAGTGCACTGGACGCCTGACCTGTAGACCATCCATTGGTGCCCATGAGCTTGTGGATCCTTCATGAAGCAGGCCAGGAGGTCCTTCTTTTGCTGGACCAATGGGACTTTGGGGTTGTCAATCACAGAGGACTTGTGATGTAGAAAGTGCTCCTTGCAGGTGAGGAGGATGTTCATCCTGTTTCCAGCAACACTGAGGACATCTCTGGTGTCTTCGTCGATGTGTTTTTGGAGGTTGATGATGTCTTCAGGCCTGGCCAAAAGGGCAGTCTGAGTGGCCTTGGCCTGAGCATCTTGCTGAAAGGCTTTCCTGTTGAGGTTGGAGTCCATCTCGTTTCGATTGAAGAAGAGAAGACGAACTTGATCGAAGTCCTCATGTTCCAGTCCAAGACTAAGGTCAGGGAACTTCTCGTGAGCCGCCAGGAAGGACCAATTCTTCCAGATGGCGTGTTGGAAGAACGGAACGTGGACCTTGTCCTTAATGTGGAGGGAGAGGTGTTTCAGGCCATAGAACAAGGCTCTCAATCTGGTGGCTTTCCCACGGCAAATCCCGGTCAAGGAGCCAACTCGTTCCTTGGTGAAGACCTGGTGGATGCAGATGGCGAAGACATAGCGCCGGTGCCTTGGGTCCCTTGAGGTGGGAGCCACTGCCAAGGACACCGCATGGCCGGCAGGCAGGTTGCAGGCTTCCAGATCAGCCCAAAGGCCCTCGCCCGTGAAAGTGGCCATGCCGCCGTCAGGGATGTAAAAGATGGACTGAGTCATCCCTCTGTTCCATAATTCCGGCTCAGTGTTGGCCTGAATCCTGTCTCGCCATTGATCTGGAAGAGGTTGGACACGGCCTTCCCAGAAACTGCACTCCCAGAGGAGGTGAATGAAGGTCAGCTCAACACCACAGAGAGGGCACTTGCCAGACTGCCCATGAAGGGCGCCCTGATGAAGAGCTCGGATGCCAACAGCTGTTTTCTCACTGGTCATCTTTTGGAGTGTTTTGCTCATGGTCCAGTCCAACCTCCGTTCCAACTCGTGGCAGCCCTCATACCTGGTTAATCTCAACAACCGTTGCCACTGGAATTCTTCAGTCAACTTGTGCTGGATCTCCGGCCAGAGCGCTTCCAGGCTGATGGTGCAGTCAGGAATGCCTCAATAGCCGGTCCTTTTCCAGAGTTTGCCGTTGGAGATGTCGAAATCGTAATCCAGCAAATAGGCTTGGAGCGCTTGAAGAGGGCCTGTGACGACCTGCCAGCGGTGTTTGGCCTTGAGAAGGAGATCCAAGGCGGAGTTCCAGCTGATCCAGAAGAGATTCTGCTTTCATCGAGTGCAACACTTTCCATACCGTGTGGATGTGCTGGAGGATGATGGAATCTCCCGGGTCACTCTTGTCCGGATGCATGTCAAGAACGACATCGACGGAGCCAGATCGTTGAAGGCCAAGTCCTCGACCTGCCAGGACGCGTAGTTGTTGACGTCGTTGTGGAGCTAACCCGTTCGCTTGGGCGCCCCAAGACATCACTGGGTGTATTGCCCCCCGATGCAATCTGTATTTGATTGCGCTGCCCAGCTTCAGGCAAAGCATGATCCCCACTCAACCTCTGCCCTTCAGGAAGCGTTTTTTTGATCTGGGTGATCCTTCGACGCCGTGAGTTGGTGGCGTCAATGCCGAGGTCCCTGAGGATGTTGTGGTGCTTGGGGTCATCTTCTTTGAGCAAAGCGTCCAAGGCTTTAGCTGACTCCTTGCTGCTCGTGATGAAGCCAGTTTTGTCCGTGTTGAGCTTCAAGCCCTCTGAGGCGAGGTTTGTTTGCAGCGTCCGGAAGGCAAGGGCCGCCTCTCTGGCAGCATAGTCAGGGTCAGTCCCCAGTCCCTTTGATGTCGAAGGAGACGTCGTCGACCCATGTCTGCAGGAGAACTGCAGGATGATCTTGAACCAGGGCCCGGAGCGGTCTGTAAAGCACCAGTTTGGCTATAGCCGGAGCTTGAGGACATCCTTGAAGAATGCCTTTCTGGTAGTACTTGGGGTTCCCGGCAATGCCCTCTGCCTGGATCGGCTGGGCCCTGTGTACAGGTCAAGGGCAAGCTTCAAGTGCAAGGGTGGATAGTTGAGGTCCATGGCTGGCTCAATGAGATGATCGAGTTGCACTGTGTCGTAGAAGCAGGTGAGGTCTGCAAGACACGTGACCGTGTGTATTCCTTGATGCTTGCCAATCTCCGCCTTGAGCATGCGTCCGACTGCTATAGAAAGGCAATCCCTGTGAGGCCTGGCATGGTCCCAAGGCATATCTTTGTCCAGACCCAGTTGCCACTTGTGCAGGTCGTGCTTGCGGTAGCTGTTCCAAAGCCTGTAAAGGCAGGAAGTGAGTGCAATCGGGCGTTCGATGCGTTCACTCTTCGGGATCATCACGATGTTGGTGTGTCGCAATTGAAGAGGTAGGTCAGCTTCCTTCTCCATCTCGGTGAGGAGTTGAGCCAGTTTCTCGACGGCTGTATAGGGAAGGTGACGAAGGAAGTCATATGAAATGCCATCAGGTCCAGCCGCCTTGTTTGGGAGCCGACGCATGATCTTCTGCAAGAGGCTGGAGTCAATGGGTTTGAGATGGAGAGCCTGAGCTTGGGCCACTCTCATGCCCCTCACCTGCAACGGTGCTTCGATGGGGATCCAGACGGCGCCCCACTGTTGTTCTCTGGCTTCAATGCGAGAGGTGGAGGGCAAGTCTTGAAAGGGTCGCTGCCATGCGTGATCTTTCTGTCTCAGGCTTCGGAAGAGTCCTCGAAGACCTTTGTCATGAGCTTTCTCCAGCCATTCTCTGAATTCATGGTTGGTGGCGCTGAGAAGCTGTTCTTGGGCGAGTTGTTGTTCTTGTTGAACAATGTGAAGAAGGTCATCAGGAGCTTGATTGCCTCCAAAGATCCACTGCAGAAGTTGTTCCTCAAAGTCCTGCTGGTCGAGCCCTTTGGAGGCGTGATGAGGAATTCTTGTGGCCATTTCTTTCAAGTCCTGAAGAAGCCCCGGGTAGCGGCCATGGTTGGCAAGGTTGATCTTGATGCCCATTTTCTCCCATAGGCAGCATTGCCTTTCTTCCACACCCTTGGTTTAGTGGAACTGGCCAGGGAAGCTTGATAGAGATGTACCTGAGAGCCGCGTCCAATGACAGGCTTGTGAAGGTGTTGGGTGAGGTACTTCTCAGTCTGCGTGGCCCATCTCGCAAAGTCGGACCCCAGACCAGTGATGCTCTGCCCAATGATGTGAAAGGGCCCATCATCCTCCGTGTAGCTGGTCCAGAGATTCTTGGGGTGGTAGTTCCGAGTGACGGGAGGAAACCTCTGTAGTTGTTGCACAGGAAGTGCAGCTTGAGTGCAGTCAAACTGAAGGGCCAAAGCGCAATGTGGCTTCCAAGGACTTCCCAGTTGGCTTCAATGCGGAGCGCTGAAGCAATGGAAGTAGAGACCAGTATGAAGTGAAGGTGACTGCCTTGAAGTGTCGTCGGCCCAGGAGTGGCCAGGATTTGAGCTCTGAACTTGCTGGGAATTGCGGTAGCTGCAAGATCCTCGGGAGCCGTCTGCCAGTCGCCACCAATGAGGAAAGGAGCTTGCAAGTGGCCCAGGAACTGCCCCAGAAGCTTTGCATTGAGAGGAGATTGGAGGGATTCCCTGATGAGGTAGATCTCAAGGCCCTCTCTTTGCATGGCCAATGCAGTCCAACCATTGCCCTGCTTGGTGTAGGTGTGGACGTGGTGAATGAGGTGCCTAGTGGCATGGAGAGTGAGGAAGCGTCCAGTCGATCCCCCATTGCCGGTGGGTTCTGCTGGAACATCATGACATTTCCAGCCTCGACAATTGAACTACTGAAGAGTGGTGTCCTAGGCTTTCTGCTGGAGATGTGTCTCCTGGAAGAGCATGATCGTGTTTTTTTGACCCCAAACCCAGTCTTGGACCTTTTTGCCAAAGAAGGTGACATTGCTGAAGGAGATGTGCAATGTCTCTTGACAGGTTTTGGGTTTCTTTGGAAGGTATTCGGCTACATCCATGGCCGTGTCGGTGACTAACTCATCCGTGGGAGCCACTGTCGACCAAATCTGAGAGATCTCTTTGCGTTGTTGAAGGCTGAGGTGAGCCAACGGAGTAGGATAGGACCCATCGTCTGCCAACCAGTAGATGTTGTCAATGGCTAAAATGGCTTGGTAGTGTCCATTTTCATGAGATGCTCCTTGGTGAAGGACGAGCCCCACGACCTGGTAGGTGGCCATGTGGACGTTGACACCATCCTCGGAGAAGGGCAAAGTGACCTTGGTGTGCAGATCGAGCTCTCGGTGATGCTTGGTCCAAAAGCCATCTTGCAAGGTGGAGCGTTGGAGATTGAGGACGACTCCACCAGGAGAGCCATATAGAAATTGCCCTCTGCCTTCATCTGCCCAAAGATTGACCAGAGAGTCCAGAGTGATGGGACCTTCACGATCAGGGAAGATGAAGTTGAGAGGAAACTGCTCTCTCTCCTCCGTGTGTCCTCGTTCGCTGCGGTGAAAAAACCTCCCTGCAAAGAAAGAGCTGCCAGAGTAGGTCCACAAGGAATGTAGAAAGTCTACAGCATCAGCTTGCTCTTCATGGTCAAATTGCGCCCAAATTTGATGCATGTCGTGCAACCCGGTGAGCAGTTGAGGTTCACTGTCCGAAAAAAATTGACGTACCGCTTGAATGGTGTTGCCCCAAGCTTGTGTCACGTCCTCTGCAAAAGCATCAGTCCAGCACCAACACCTCCAGGGTGCATTCCCATAGACAAAGATGTTCGCCACCATGTGTTCAACTTCCCCAGAAACACTGAGATGGCGTTGGATGAGGTTCTGCATCCTCTTCAAGTCCATTAGAAGCTGCTGCCCTCCTTGGAGAGTAGGGCTCCTGCCGTAATGTTGGCATGAGGAGAGCAAGTCATTGCTGCAAAGATCAAAAAGAGTCTGTTGCTCAAAGGTCAGGGAGGCGCCGGTGTCAACCTCCATCGCGAGCAAGTTGGCCAGCGACTGAACAGCCAAGGTCCCGTATGCAACAGTCTCCCGTGGGAGCTGTTCTGAGGTAGAGGTGCACGGTGCCTCGGCTGTCTGTCTGGCCAGTGGCTCAGGAGAGGTTTGTGCCTCTCCAAAAACCTTGAGCTTCGTCAAGGAGTGTCCGGCGCGGACCATAGCCCGTACCCGGTGAAGGAAGGCCCAAGCTTGAGCCTGAAAGCAAAGGATCAACTGAGGATGCAATACCCCTGCATGCCAGTTGAGAGTGTCCCAAGTCATGAGCAAAGGTGCATGACGAAAGTCCCCTGTCTGAAAGCGAAAGCGAATGAGACGAACGAGAGGGCAAAGGGCTACCCACACGACGCTGAATTGCCCATCTCTGTCTTCCTGCGTTTGGCCTCTTCATCTGTGACTTCAGCTTCTACCGAAGGTCGTTTGAGCATGACGTGCAACTGCTCTTTTTGTTTCTGAGTCAGGCTGACACCAAGGGTGGTGATAAAACCAGCTACTGCAGCCGGCACTGAATCTTCCATCTCTGTTTCGAGAGGTTGAAGAGGCTTATCAGCCTGAGTGGAACTGACCTTGGTGAGGTAGGCCGTGCTGATGGTGTTCAAGGAGGCCTGTTCCTGCTCAAGTTTGCCTTGCAAGGTTTTCATTTCGTCCAGGAGCTCTTGGTAGTGCGTGCTTCTTGGTGTTGTCGATCTTCTGCTGAAGGAGTTGCTTCCGTTGGGAGATGTCCCGAAGCGTAGTGACTTGCTGTTTTAACCTGGATGCCATGTCCTTTTCCGTCTCTGGCTGAGGTTTGGTGATCTTCTCGACCAATTCCTTGACCGGGGCCGCGAGGTTCTCCTTGAGAACGTCTGTCAAGTCTGGCTCGATGACCTTGGGTGAAGGGTTGATGCCGACCTCAGAAAGTTTCACCTTCATGGTCTCGTCCAGAGAATCCCAAGCTGGGGCCAAGATCTCTGAGGCCGTCTTCTGGAGCTTGGAGGGGCGAGGTGGCCTGCTGGAAGTGAGCCCTGGTGGAGGGGTCACCTGCCGTGGCTTGGATCTGGTCCAGCTCTTGGATCTGCTATCTCCAGCTTTGGCAAAGCCTTGTGCTGGCTTCTTCCAAGGTGTCCCGCATAGCCGGCAGGTGTAGTTGGGCTGAATGCGGTCTTCTCAAATCCAATTGCTGCAATTGGCCTTGCCGCAACATTGATAGGCCCTCGTCCAGGTCATTCTGGAGGAGCTCTAGTGCCAGGTGCCAAAGAGCTCTGCTGGAGCGGTCAGCTCGACGACGGGCAGAAAGGGAGTAGCTCCAATGCCGTAGGGAAAGTCCCTGAAGTGAGAGAGAGGAGCTGTATCTTGAGCAGAAATGGCTTGAGCCAAAGATTATGTATTATGTGTGTATATATATATATATCTATATATCAAAGGGGGGGTTGTGAGTCTGTGTGTTCCAGTATGTCGGAGAGCGCCCACCCATTTCAGCGTCGTTTCTTTTGCCCCGTGTTATCATTATTGCTCTATCGCCGTCCCCCAGGCCCTAGCCCTAGTTTCTGAGGTCTACGAACTGCTCGATGACCTGGATGGTGCAAGCAGGTGGCTGGAGTCTGCGCTGGTGCCTGGGCCGCCCAACCTCCTGGCACAAAGGGAACGACAAGGAGAAGAGGGGCCTTAGACCCTAAGGGTGGCCGTGCGAGTTCACGCGAACGGCGCGAACCGCATGCTAAGCTGCAAAAAGTTTCTTTCAGGACCGAGGTGCTGAATCTTCAGCAACCAAAGAGCATAAAGATGTATAAAGAGTCTTCCTTCGATGTTGGGGTTTTTAATGGCACTCTGAAGCAGATCTGCGATGATGTTTGCCGATGGCAGACTTGAGGCTCAGCTTGAGAAGAGATGCATGGCCAAAACACCACTCAGGGCAATGGACAATTTCATTGGGGACACTCTTATATGGTTGGCACTGCTTGGATTCAAGGCCCCTGCAGGACATTCTGCAACCCCTGCTGAAACGGCAACTCTGCAGTCCCAGTTCTTTCGCTTTCAGGAGCTTTGCTGAAAGCGAGCCTGGCACATCTACCTGCCACGCACCGGTCTTCCACAGAGGTCCTCAGCTCTTTGGCGAAGTTCACCAAGGGCCTCAGTCGATTAATCCGCAGTCGCCGACACTGGGACTTTCCGGCGCCTGGGCTGTGGAGGGAGGTGCCTGAACCTGGAAGGAGTTGGGTCAGATCATGTCAGAATTACTTCTTGGTTTTTTTTGATGTGCCAACAGCTGATGAAGTGCAAAAAAAGAAACGTCGAAGCTCAAGATGGGCAATGGCGAGACTTTTTGATGTTTTTTTTGCCAATGGAGCTTTGCTGCCATGCCGTTTGCCGTATAGTTTGGTGTTGGACTGGTTGCAGACCAGTGTTGATGTGGGCTTAGGTAAGAAAGGTGCGTGGCATTGCTTGTTTCACCTTGTAAAGCAGCAGATTGGCCAATCTTTCGTAGGAGAACTATAGTCAATCAACCACTTTGGTGCAGTTGCAAGTGCCATGTACAACAGTTGTTCACATTCCAAGGGTCACCCGTTTGAGAGAGTCCTCACATCCACCACAGATCCAACAAGAGCTCCTCCTCGCTCCTCATCGAGGTGAGCATCCCGGAGGCCTTCGACACCCGAGCTGTCGAGGTGACACGGCTCGGCTATTTGGGGCCTCAGCTGGTGCCCCATCTTCCAGAGTTGGCCTCCGTCTACTCGAGGCCAAGTGAAACGGAAGAAACGGGAGCTTTTTGGGTCACCCGGCAGACACCGTGGTCGCTGGTTGGTGTTGGTTGTGTTAGGATGTTGGCCAGTTTCCCTTTTGTCCTGTTTCAATCTTTGTATTTTTTATCCGTTTGGTGTGATTTAAACAAAAAAGCATGTGCAGCAAGTTGTAGGTGAAGAGAACATGTTCTAAGCTTCTCGGAGGGAAGACCTCCAAAAAGGTCACCTTGTAAAAAGGTCACGACTTGCTGAACCATGAAGACCCAGCAGCTTTCGTACTCCCCATTCCCCAGCAGCTGGAACGGACCTCCCGACCGATCTGCGGAGGATCCATGTGTCGCTCCTCCCAAGCCTGGGCCACTGTGGCCACGGGTCGACCCGCGCAGTGTCGGCGTCGTTCTCTTCCGTGAAGTCTGTGGCCGACCGACAGCGACGCGTGGGCTTCGTGTCGGGTCTCTTTGGAGAGAGCGCCGTGGGGAACCTGGCGCGCGGACTTCTCCATCCCCTACGCGGGGAGAGAGAGGAGCGCGAGAATCGGAGCTTGTGGGTGGCTCTGATCTCTTTGGGCCGCTTGAAGGAGAAGGAGGACCGGGAGATGTTGAAGCGATTGGGCTGTTTCTGCGGGTTTGGAAACAGATATTGCAATGTAGAGTGTGCTCCATTTAAGTTTCATCTGAGAGATGATCAGCACCTATCTATATTCAATTTTGATGAGCACGGGGCAAAGTTACCGAGGCTTATTTGTCTTGCGATGTCGATAAGGCATCCACGTCTCCCAAAGTGGCAAACGATTGTCAACGACTTCTCTTTACTCCTTACTCTTACTGCTCTTGGGACCTGGTTATTCTGTTTTGTGTCTTCATCAGGTGTGCTATATTCTCTTTTTGGGTCAGCCAGCCACGGCTATAGCTACGGGTGAGATCAAGTCAGATCACCTCCTCAAAACCAGAGGCTCCCTGGAGCTTTCTCCCCACCAGCCATGACGATCTCCTGCAGACGTCGGACGTTTGGGCTGCCGTGCACGCTCGGGCGGATCACTTGGAAGAGCTCTCCGACTGGGAAACGGCTTCACCAGGCACGGAGAAGCAGCTGTCAAGTGCCAGGGAGAGGACCCAGATGGGGGGAGTGGGGGAGATGCCGGTGAGCTCTTTGGTGAGCTGTTTGGGATAGAAAGGCTTGAAAAGAGTAGTATACCGTATACCCTCATATGACTCAGAAGCTCTGCAAGGGTGGTATACCAGTGGTAGGCACAAAACTGCAGTGGGGGTTCAAGAGCTTTGAGGCATCGAACACCGCGAGTTTGGATGGGTGAACATCCAAGAGGTTTACCTACCATCAACTATCAACTCTCCTTGCTCCTCCCTGCTCAACCCCTCCTAGCTGATGGTTTGTGCAGATCATCCATTCTTTTCAGTAGCGGGTGTTGAGGGAGGTGGCCAGATTGCCGGCTTTTGTTGGCAGATGGTTTGATGGTTGGGGGAATACTTCAACATTGATTCGACCAGCATAGACCCGTGGGCCCGTAGACTCTGAAAGTTGAGACTTGTTTTTGGAAGCTTGCTGGGGAAATTTACACAGCACCACACCCTGCAGTTGGTGTGGATTCTCAATCTCAAGGAATCATCAATCACCCCCGCAAGCGGGAAAACCACTCCCGAACATAGTCCGATAAACAAAGAGACACACCAAAAAGACACCAAGAGCATGGTGAGGATCTTCAATCTCCAGCTGGACTTCCTCGTGTTTCTGGAAATCGGTCTGGATGTGCGTTCCTTCGTTCTGGCGCACTCACGCTTGGCCCAAGTCCAGCTGGCGACGTACGGCCATGCTTCCACGAGTGGGATTCCTACAATCGACGCTGGGAAGCGAGCAGAATCTTTTAAGAATTTTAAGACTTGAATTTTCACATGTTCCATCCTACTCTTTGATTTGTTTTTGTGTATATGCGCATTTGCCATTTCAGTTTGCCGAGGTATACATTTATTTTTAGCTTTTGGATCTCTCTTGAAAGAGATTCTGGGATTTGGGTACCTTTCCATTTTTGATTGGACCGTGCAGGGTGGGTTTCCTCAACATGAAGGAACACCAGAAACCTTTCTGGTAGAAGGTGTTTGACCGCCTGTCCAAAAAAAACATCGTGCGGAAGCCTGAGTGGAATCTGATCTACCATGAAAATACCAATGTCTACTGGGCGGTCATCACTTGGACTTTGCACGCATCTGGATGCTAATCCTTGAGATGGGGAAACAAAGCTGTGGAAGTTCAGAAAGAGTGTTCGTTCTTGGCTTTTTGCATGTGTAATTCAGGAGTCTCAAACTGGAGTCTCTAGCCTCAAATTTCCAAGGTGTCAGCCAGTTTAGGTGCTTCGGCTAATGGCCACAAAGACTTTCGGTGTGGGGAAAAAACACGAAGAACCCCGCCTTGGGAACATGTCAAGGTTTGCACAGCATAACAAATCACTGTTTTTCACCAAAACAAGTGTGGCCACAAGCTCTGACATTTTGCCCTTTCACTGGCCAATGTGCGTTAGTCTCAATGTTGGCCTGCCATCGATGCCTATGGGATCCTATGGGTCTTCATCGGTGTCTTTCAGGACGCCTTCGTCACCGTCGAGAGCTTCGAGCCGAATGCCACCAGCTCGGCACAAGAGCGCTATGCAGAGCAGTTGATCAGCCTGCCAGGCGGATCTGGGCTGTCATCTGCAGGGCGGCTGGATCTGGGCGAACATGGTGAATGGGAGCGAATCAACCATGTCAACCATGTTCAATTTCTTCAAACAAGTTAATTATGTGATATTCATGTGATTCTCAATGGACATGATGGGCTTCATGTCTTTTTCAATCTCAGGGTCGAATCGGAGGTGCTTCCATGCAAGACAAGCCGGCTCACTTAGAACTCACAAAGAGTGCCTGCAGGTGGCAGGACATGCAATGAAACCCAGGTTGCAGGTCGCACTGATCCTGGAGTTCTGGGGTTTCATCCTGATAACATGTGCAGATTTGAGCAGCCATATTTAGTTTAATGCAGGAAGCATTTAGGGCTTTACAGCTACCCAGCGACCACTGAGCTTTTCCGACAGATCCGAAAACTCATCGCCCAGTCGCCCTGTTTGCGGGCTCCGCTTAGCCCGTCCGCTGTTTCCGTAAATGAGGCTATGACACACTTGTCGCTGCTTGAAGCCCTTAGTCAGTGTTTTTCTCGCTACGGTCGTCGTCGTCGTCGTCGTCGTCGTCGTCGTCGTCGTCGTCGTCGTCGTCGTCGTCG